CTCACCTACATCGTCCACATGGGACGACTCGGGAACTCAACTCCTACCCCGGGCAGCTCACCTATCCCCTTATGCCCAGGGGAAAGGTATCAAGCCGTTTTACAGCTGATGCTAGCTGTCAAAACGGCTTTTACGCTGAAACAGGCGGGAGGCAGCAAACAGCTGCTTCCAACGAGGTCGCCTGCCACCGGAAGTCTCAATATTTCCTCTTGTTCTAATAGCCAGTAGTGGAGTAGAATGATATAGTTAAGAAGTCTCAATTTTGCAGAACAGAAAGTAGAGATCTAGATATTACTATAAGTAGAACAAACATTTCCATTATAACCATTGTAACTCTATAAGGTTGATAGCTTTAGGAGTTTAGGCTACTTTTGAATAAATGTCTTGATCATGTCTTAATATATAAGACACCGCCAGACAAAGTCCGTGTTCAAAGAATATTGTATACTCGCCAGCACTTTCATAAAAATGAGACATTTTCAGTTATTATAATAATTTAAAGTATTTATTGTATGACCAACACGCTTCAAAATTTAATATGGCCTTTTTAAGTTCTGAGAAAACTCTATTAATTCAATAGAAGCTAATACTTCGATCAATTCAGAGTTGTCCAACATCCATATTACAGAACTGAACCCAACCTTTGTAGTAAAAGTGTTAGCTGTAATTTAACGTAAAGAGCCAATTCAAATAATCTCTCTTTCCTTTAACACAACTTTCTTTGAAAAGAATGATTGAAGTGAAGATTAATTAGGGAAGTCCCCCCCCTCCCATAACCCCCCCTTAAGGTTTCATACAGAAGTGGGATATAAACAAATAGAATAGACATAATGTATTCCATGGACAAAGAGAACATTTAATTTTGTTCTAAATATCATTTGGAAAATGATTTTAAGTTTAAAACATAAATATATACACACTGGTAATAAGGGGGGGAAAAGAATGGAAAGGAAAAAAGTCAACAACATATTCCAAATATACCCAATCCTTGTTATCTTAAATAAATATGGTAATGAATACAACAGAGCATAAAATGTTTTTTTTAAAAAATTAAAAAGAAATGGAGGGAGTCAAACATCATACAGATCAGGGATATCTTATTTTGTTAGATGAAAAGTGAAGAAATATGGTTTACAATTAATGCTTCACAAAAAAAGGCCATTCGTTTAAAAGAGGGGAGCAGAAGTTTTCTCTCACATTCCTGCAACATTTGCCAAAATGCATATAATCTTTCAGAATAGATTTGGGGATGCATGGAAGAGCTTCGAGAAAAAATAAGAAAGTTCCATTCAAAAAACAGAAGTCTTGTGAAAGACTGTGAACTTAAATTTTCAAAGGAAGGAATGTTGAAAACGTTAAAAACTGCTATAAAACCAAGAGAATGAGAAAGATAAAACAGGGTTTCTAGGACGCCAGAGGTAGGAAAAGTGCCAAGTTTATAATGCCAAGACACTATAAGCCTTAACCACCAAAAAGCCAAATTATTTGAAGGAGCTTTAGACATGGCATAAGGGTTCTTCACTAGATGTGTAATGATGAATTTCTGAGATACTTCAGTCAAATTCTTGTCAATTCAAGAATATATGAGTACCAAGTCTACATTTTATAACAGAACTAGAGATATGAAAGTCACCTGTTCCATCAATTATCAAAGTGTCTCTATAGCAGTATTCATGCTGTTAACAGAGAAGTTAGCTACATAAATTATGAATCAATTCCACTGTGAGATGGGTTGTTTTGTAGGGCTGTGCAATCCATTTGGAGGTGCATTGATCAAAGCTGCACTGAAGCCTGTTCTCTATGCTCTGAATGTGTGTATCCCCAAAGGACACTTCATTTGCAATTGCCACTGAAGTAAAGCTGTACCAAACTGAAAAATAGCTGCCATCAGGAAATAAGTATTCAGGGTGGGGAATTCTGCACTATCTGTATGAAAATGATTTTTTCACAATTTCTGTTCTCCCAGAATGCAGCTGTTGAAGGCTATACTAACAGAGCCATTAAGATCAAGCAATCAGCATAGACAAAGGCAGATAGCTTTCTATCAAAAGTGCAATTGCTTTGATCCAACGAATTCTTTCTTCAAGGTCAAAACATTGTTGATTTAAAAAAAATCAATACAAGTGAGGCTAAGACACAGTCCTATTTGTGGTGATAGCATCTGTTAATTGAAGAAAATCTAGCTGCATTTAGGATCTCATTACTAAAGCCAGTAGTTGTGCTCAGTTCAGCAGCATACACAGACATTTCTTACAAACCTTTGATGATGCAAACAAATGTGTCCACAAACTCCAACCTAGAAGGTCCTGGAAGTTGAGAGGAGGTTATTTTACAGGATGCCACGCAGGCATGTTTGCTTGGGCTTGCAAACAAAATGGACCTATAAACAATGTAACCTGTTCATAAAGTTGAGCACTGTCCGCACACTAAATTGGGTAGACTCAATTTATAAGTATTGGCCAATGTAAGCATTCCTGCAGTCCTCAGAACATGCAGTGTAGTTATCCTGCACTGTAGCAACATATTGGTCTATATGGTTTTAAGCATCAGGAAGAGCTACAATAATGTAATTTATTTACTCTCCATTTTAGGCTATGAATTTGCATGGGTCTGTTCCTTAAAAAAAAACTTAATAAAACAGTAACAAAACAAAAAATTAATCAGGAAACATAATTCCAACAAGAGGCCCAACATAAGTTGTTATCATAGTGAAAAATAAGCCAAAACAAACATTTTATAGTAAAATAACCTTGCTCCGTTAATGTTAATTACGGTCTGTATCTCACTATACACAAAAACAGATATACAAATTCCTGATTTTTTTTTCTACTGCCAAACCAATTATACACCTATATTCAATATCCTTCATTTGCAACACTGGCATAAGCTATCCATTATCACCTGTAAAGGAATTTAT